TTTAGTAATTTTCAATATTAACTAAAAATTAAAAATTAAATAATTGAGAAAATTGTATTTCATATTATTTAAGAAAATTACTCACTTTTAGGTTATTTTCTTTAAGGTAACTTGTAATTAATAAAAGTTTTACTTCAGCCCCTGAAAAAAATACTGAATAAGGGTACAATTCACTTTGAATAGTCCTAAAACTATAGAAATACTGCCATCGGTGTTTTTTTATTGATTATATGTGCAGATTATCTTTATTCACTGCCTCTCTCATGAGATATTAGTTTGTGCTTATAATATTTTATGCTCTAGATAACTTGATTGATTTTGAGCAAAGTTGGTACAACATAGATTCTTTGCTTAAGGAAAATTCATTAGAAAGGCTTTCACCTGACATCAACCAGATTTTATTGAGAGCTTGATATAATTCCTTTTGATATAGTATCTCATTTCATTAATAATATAGGAGTATATACCAGATTCTGAAATGCAATGCAAGCAAAGCTATAAACATAATTCTAAAACACATACAAATGTCAATTCACCTCGATTTCAATGAACTTGATAAATAATCATAACTTAAACATACACTGTATATATATGTATATATATTTATACATTTATATATTACATAACTACTGTTATTATTTTTTTTTTCTTACTGACAACCACCTAAGAACTCTTGAGACTTGACAAGATGAAGAGCAGAGGGGAGGGCCAGGACTCCATAGCTAGGTGGCATAATAACAGTATGGAAAGAAGGGTTTGGGGGTATGAAGGATAGCAGGATCAGAGCACAGAGCATATGCCAGATCCTATAAAAACTCAAGTCAAATGTATAGATTATGGTATGCAAAGTGTGTGTTTATTGATGGTTCTCTAATATGTTCAGTTCCCACAGGTGAGCAAGGAGTTTACCAGAAGGAACATAAACCACAAGCAGCTGTACCATGGAAGGATACCAGGGATAAGGAGGGAAGGAATAGAGTGGCCAGAAGCAGGAGTGTGGCCCTGTCATCTCTAGAAGTAAACATGAATCTGCCAAAACAAAAACAAAAACAAAAACAAAAACAAAATCTTAGTTTCTATTCATTTGAAAATGTCTTCATTTTGTCTTGATTTCTGAAAAAAACAAAAAAACAATAATGTCTTTGCTTACATTTTTTTTAATCTTACACATGTAGGCTATACAACATGATTTTTTAAAAAAAGTGCTTTGTTCATAGCAAAATTGAGCAGAAGGCACAGGTCCCCCATATCTCTCCTACCCCCAGACATCTAGCTTCCTCCATTATCAATGTTGTTCATCAGAGTGGAACAATTGTTACAATTGATGAACCCACACTGTCACATCATTATTATGCAAAGTCTCCAGTATACCTTAGAATTCACTCTTGTTGTTATGCAGTCAGTGGTTTTGGATAAATGTATGATGACTTGTACTCACCATTATACAATCGTACAATGTCTTAAGTATTTTCTGTTCTCTACTTATCCATCTTTCCCTTCCTTACATCCCTTGGCAATCAGAGATCTTTTTACTTTCTGCATCATCTTGCTTTCTCCAGAATATCAGATAGTTGAAGTCAAAGAATATATAGACTTTTCAGGTGGTCTTTTTTCACATATGGTACATTGTTATTGACTATAGTCACGATGAACAATAATATACATAATGAAATGATTGCTAGAGCCAAGTCAATTAACATACTATCACTTCACATAGTAACTGTGTGTGTTTGTGTGTGTGTGTTAAGAAAATCTAAAATGTATTACCTTAGCAAATTTCTAGTGTACAGTACAGTATAATTAACTATGGTCTTTATACTGTACATCAGATTTCTAGATTTTTAAGATATTTATTTATTATATATTTCTTGGTTAATAGTAATTTTTCAACATATTCAAAAATTTCATTCCATTGTTTTTTGACTGGCACTGTTTTGGTTGAGAAGTTAGAAGTCAGTTTTACTTTTGCTCCTTTGAAGGTAGCCTGTGTTTTTATTCTTGTTTTTAATGTTTTTACCTTCTCAGTGTTTTCACTAATTTTACTATGTCTGACTAGATGAATAAGCAGATGTTATAAGCTTATCCACTGACTTTTTAATTTCACATATTCTATTTTTTTTCTAGATTTCCCATATGGCACTTTTTCAAATGA